GAAGCCCGGCCATTACAAATTCCTGCTTCTACGTGAGAGCTGAGACAGCTTAGCACCAGCATCGAAGCTAGAACCAGGTAGCCTGGCTTCTAATCCTCTTTCAACCAAGACAACAAGCTAAAATTGTATTTAAAGCACTCAGCCCAGGGGGCACCTGGCTGGCGAAGTCAGAAAAGCATGCGACTCTGACTCTCGGGGTTGTGGGTTCGAGCCCCCTGCTGCAAACAGAGAATACTAAAAAAAATAAAATAAAATAAAATAAAAATAAATAAAATTTTAAAAAAAAAACCAGCTCTGGATATAATAAACATACTTTTTTAAAATTTATTTATTTGACAGACAGAGATCAGAAGCAGGCAGAGAGGCAGGCAGAGAGACAGGGGGAAGCAGGCTCCCCGCTGAGCAGAGCGCCCGATGCGGGGCACGATCCCAGGACCCTGAGATCATGACCTGAGCTGAAGGCAGAGGCTTTAACCCACTGAACCACCCAGGCGCACCAACATACTTTTTTTTTTTTTTTTAAGATTTATTTATTTATTTAACAGAGAGAGACACAGCAAGAGAGGGAACACAAGTAGCGGGGAGTGGGAGGGAGAAGCAGGCTTTCCGCTGAGCAGGAGCCAGATGCTGGGCTTAATCCCAGCATCCTGGGATCATGACCCTAGCAGAAGGCAGACGCTTAAGGACTTACCCACTCAGGCACCCCAATAAATATATTTTTGTACAGTGTTTCCTTGATAAACCCTCTTGCAACAACATTTTTCATTAAACCAGTGAGAAGTAAAGAGAAGGCATAGAAATAGAAACACACATACCCAAGCGGTTATAATCCAGTCTGTAAAAGGGAATGGCACTTTACTTCTCCTTTACAAGTACTTAGAGAGGTTAGCACAGGCTCATCTTACAGTCTTAACCAAGATCTGTATTTATGGGATATAAAACTTATTCTCAGACTTTGAAACTCTCCTGTGATTGATTCAGGCAAAGGTCCAGCCACTGCTGGTGGGGAACTCTGCACAGGTGGAAACAGCCAACCCTGAGTGAGCCCACAGCTGACACTCGGCATCCCCAGGAGGGGCCACCAGCCTTCCTCACGTGAGAACACGGGAGAACGGTCTATAAAGCATTTTGGAGGGGTGGGGGGACCAAACTTGATCCAGCCTTACTTCCATTTCACAGAAACACAAGGGGATAGAAGAACATGCTAAATGAAATCACCATGAAGCCGCCGGAACATGGGCTATTCCTGAGCACAACGGATGGGTCTCTAACGAGGAAGGGCACTGGAAAGGGGAGCGGACGAGGCTGCTGTCCAGGAAAACAGACGCCAGGCACCGAACAGCCAACTGCACAGCATAAACCACGTTTGGATCCCAATTCAATCAAACATTCTATAAATCCTCAGAGATCTCCAAATATGGATCTGACATTAGGTGAGACCAAGGAAGTGTTTGCTTTGTTCAGGGGGATGGCGGAATTGAGCTGATGTAAAACCTGGCGATTTTTCTTCTGCGCACGGGAGGCAAAAGAACATGGGGAAAAAAATAATAAAAATTAAAATTAAAAAGTCAAAAAAAAAAAAAAGGACACGAGATCTGGATCTGCTTCAAAGCTTGCAAACTCTGGAGCTGGTTGTGGGCAACGGGGGTGAGAGGGAGTCATCATGCTACTCTCTCTCGATGTGTGTCTGAATTTCTCTAAGATTACAAAATAAAAAAATTCTATCTTTCACAATCACTTTTAAGTCTTTATGTATCTAAGTCTTATAAGAGATAAAATGTAAGGGCACCTGGGTGGCTCAGCTGTTAAGCATCTGCCATCAGCTCAGGTCATGATCCCACGGTTCTGGGATCAAGCCCCACACTGGGCTCTCTGCTCGGCGGGAAGCCTGCTTCTCCCTCTCCCACTCCCCCTGCTTGTGTTCCTTCTCTTCCTGTGTGTCTCTATCAAATAAATAAAATCTTTTAAAAAAAGAGAGAGAGAGAGAAAGAGAAACGGAAGCAAAACTGCCTATTCTCCCAGACTTACTCATTCATGAGATGTTCCCGATGAAATCTCAGCTTTGGAAAGAACCCAAGAGGGCATGTAGTTCAGGGAGTCTCAAATCTGGCTACAAGTCAGAAACACCCATAGAGCTTATCAGAACAACCAATCGTCCCCAACCCACCGCAAACCGACTGAACGAGCATCTCCAGGGCGGGAGCCAGAAATGCTCATGGCGGTGCCCCGGGGGTTGCTGGTGCAGTCTTGGAAGATCCCTCTCCCACGTCCCAGGCAGGCAGGTATCCAGTAAGGGACGTGTTCCAAGCCCGCAAGGATAAGGACCACACCGGATCCTGCAATCTCAGTTATACTGAGCTTAAAACTGTGTTCCACACTTTTAGAAGAGAAAAAAAATGTGACTACAACGTGCAAGCCTTCCGTTCTCCCCCTTCAACGAACACATATTTCTCACCAACATTCGGGGCACTTGGTCACTGCACAGTGGCCCAACCTCAATGTGGAAGCTACCAGCAAGTAAAATAAACAAAACAAGCTTACCTGTACAGCCAAAGAGGCTTTCACTGAGCAAAGTGTCAGGGAGAATGCCTTCCCCTTTACTGAGCTAGCCAGAGGAGAAACCCCAAATGGAGGGGCCAGCACGGGCACCCTGGAAAGAGGTGGGAGTAACCCAAGAAAGGAGGAGAAAAGGGGGAAAACTCACACTCTGGGCTGTGTTCTCGTAAAATCACAAACAATGGGAACAAACTCCCAACGACAACACTGACTGGCATCCGATCAGAAACGCGTCAATACAGGTCGGCACAGCTAGGAAGCCAGAAACCCACATTTCCTAAGATTAACAATCTCAAATCCTTAAAGCCATTCCCCTTCCACAGGACAACCGTCACCCCTGGAAAAGTGGACTCCCAGAGTGGGGGCTGGGGGCACACAAAGGGGAGATGGCACTCTGACCTGTGTGCCTTCACTCACACGCACACCCCGCCCAACACACCTGTCACTCGGGGAAGGGGGGGATCCGCCTGGGTCTCACTGCACACTGCGGAGCTGCTTTGTTGAATGGTTCCGAGTGAGCGTTTGCTCCATTACTCTTCTGTGTGCTGGCCTCGTGGCAAACACGGAGCCAGGCGGGCGGTGACACGCAGGACAGGTTCATGCCAAACTGAACGTGTCGTTCGCCGCCTTCTCGGGGACATGCGGCTCTGGGGGACCTGGACAGCATTTTCTTCACTGTCTTTTCATCCTGGAGTTGCTTTCTAAGATTTTCCCCTCCTAACCATAAAGACCCAGCTATACAGAAATGTTTAATAGCACGGACTTGGATCTTGACGGGGTTGCGGTGAACTCTCTTTAAGTTCAAAGAAGAATGGTAAAGCAGTCAACAGAGCCAAGTACCAGGTCGGTCTCCTCGTGCTCCTTCGGCGAGGTGGAGGGGAGGAAAGAGAGCAGTGGACACCTAGGGACAGCGGCAGCGCCCCACAAATGTCACACTTAGGAAAAATACGGACGTGTGGTCTATCTGCATGTGCACACCAGACCCAGGCATCGCGTGTCCCAGCAGTCAAAGGCAAAGCTCCTGAGTGTCCACATCTTTGCTGGTGTTCCCAAGCAAGCCCCCTCCTCAAACCCTGCACGCCCACTCCCCATCTTGAACATAAACTCCAGGGGAACAGCATTTGCAGAAAAACGTGTCCATCTGCGGCAAGGGGAAATCCGGCGTCACCCCTTCCGGATTCATACTCTTCCACGCCCAAGACGAGCAGAGTTTTCTCCAGCTCAGGATTTTACTGCAAACAGGACCATGTTTCTGGAGAAGGAAAGGCCCCAACACTGTACAGCCAGTGGTCCCACAGCCGAACTTCAAGAAGGGGCAAAAGCAGATCTCCAGCTGTACGCTGAAATGTCACTACCATGAAAACCCAGGCTGAAACAGACAGGAATAACGCGACAGCTCTGGGGTGAGAACACTTCCCAGCTTAAGTCCCAAATGCAGCTGTTAACTTTTCAGAACTCCAAAGTCAGACCGCAGCTCTGCGTTCCAGCCCTGCCAGTCAACCCTCTCTCTACTGTTCCTACCATGATATTACAGAAACTCTCTCACTTCAGCAGACCAGGAAACCTGGACTAAGACCGTACAGTCAAAAGTCAATCTCTTGGAAGCCCATCTCGAAAGGGAACTTTACCCCGATTTTTCATACCCGTTGTTTTGAAGTTACCACTTACGTGTATTCCTGATTTTATCGGAGTCACCTCGGCAATCCACGTCTTTGTCCGGTATGGGAGTGTACTGTCTGGCCACCTCCCAATGCCCATTACTGTCCATTTATTCTAGAATCCTGGAGAGGCTGCCCCTCTCCAAGTTAACACTTAGAAAAGAAATGCCATTTTTCAGGGCGCCTGGGTGGCTCAGTGGGTTAAGCCTCTGCCTTTCGGCTCGGGTCATGATCCCAGGGTCCTGGGATTGAGCCCCCCATCGGACTCTCTGCTCAGCGGGGAGTCTGCTTCCTCCTCTCTCTCTGCCTGCCTCTCTGCCTCCTTGTGATTTCTGTCTGTCAAATAAATAAATAAAATTTAAAAAAAAATGCCATTTTTCTCTTGTCCCAGGTGGCAGTTTTCCTCCAATGTATACATACATACCCCACGGTTAATGGCTGTCCTTGGAACATGGACCTGTGTCTGTACTGCAAATCCAGAGGGACCCATCCATGCTGAGCGATGATCCCAAGAACCAATCAAGTGTGTGAACCACCGTTTTGTGATTATGTTCAGATACCACAGTGGGAAACCCTCAATCCAGCATGAACACCAGAAACACTGTCCAATGACCATGTTGAAGGCAAAGGAAGTTCTCTGCCACCAAATGAATGAAATAAAATTACTCAATTATAACTGCGCCCTTCGGTGTGGTGAATTTACATCCCTCGACATTGTTTTTTCATGGGGAGGAAGGGCACATTTTAAAAAAAGAGAAACATGAGTTCCAGACCCAAAGAACTTACCTGACTCCTCTCCTTGTCCACTTTCTTAAAACACTTATTCAAAGACAAATTATGTCTCACTGAGTTTTTCCACCCGGTAGGTGCGTTTGCAAAATATGGAAAATGTTCCAAGATCCAGTTGTAGATATCCTTTACTGGCAGGCGCTTGGTTGGAGAGTCCTCGATGGCCATAAATATGAGGCAGCTGAAGGAGTAGGGGGGTTTGCAGTTGGGGTTCTGCCTGGCATCGTAGGGCATGTCAGAGTGGGCAGGGGATGGAGGGGTGTCATCGTCCAGGTCCTGGACAGGGCTGACACTCCTGAGGACCGACTCCCCGAAGCTCTTCAGCAAGTTCTTGCTCTCGTGAAGCCAGTTCAAATTGGTCAGCTCCTCATCTTCCATGGCCCCCTCTTCTAATCGGATGTCAGGCAGAGAGAAGTCGAGGTCATCGTCCTCCTGCAGGGCCTTGGAGAAACCACCGCCCCGGTAACACGGACTCAGCCCACTGGAGACGCGAATTCCTGAGCTTTCTGGCTTCTTACTGGGAGGCATGACGGGACCCATTTATGTGAAGGCTCCTGGTGAACAGAGTACAAAGAAAAGATGAGTTGGGGAAACCCAAAACAGAGAGGCAGCTGTGCCCTCCTAATTCTTTTGTGCCCACCCCTCCAACCCCCACCACTTCTATGGACCCCATGCCCCTGGGAACAGCATCTCCTGCCGTCAAGCTGAGGACCACAGACCCACCACTCCACCACTAATAAAGTAAAAGCAGTCCACCTCTTAAAATACAAGGAGACTGGAACTATTTACAGTATCTTTAATATGCAAATGCACCACAAAAAGAATGGGGAACTCTACAAAGCTTTCTTCCCAGATTCACATCATCATTATATTATCACTGTGCCCCACTGGGAATAATCAGTTATTTCTTGGTGCCTCAGTTTCTCCTCAGAATATGAATGCACAGGGGCGCCTGGGTGGCTCAGTGGGTTAAGCCTCTGCCTTCAGCTCGGGTCATGATCTCAGGGTCCTGGGATCGAGCCCCCCATCAGGCTCTCTGCTCAACAGGGACACTGCTTCCCCCTGTCTCTCTGCCTGCCTCTCTGCCTACTTGTGATCTCTGTCAAATAAATAAAATCTTAAAAAAAAAAAAAAAAAGAATACGAATGTATATACAGGTAAGAATTCTTTCAAGCCTCACGATAAACACTACAAAGTAAAGGCCATGCCCCACACTCTGGTCACTTGGGGTTCTAGGCCTCAGGGTTTATCCTTCCCTCCCGTCCCCACTGCAAAATACCTGCAAGTTTAAGACCAGGTGTTTCAGATTAAGTTCAGCTGTCTCCACATGAAAACCATGACAACCGTCCCAGAATTAACATTCTGACCACAGCATGCGCTGACTGGTAGTGTTTTATATCTGACTGTATCTTTCCTCCACAAGCAATGGCCCCAAACTCCGCAACTTTAATCACAGCTGGCAAGTCTAGAAAGTGGTAAACAAGGAAGTCTGTGGGTTGGAACTAGAGAAAAAAGTGCATTCAATTATTGGGACACTACACCCCAGATGAAAAACTGAGTAACTTTGGGCACCGCACCAATCAATGGGACTGTGAAGACAAGCCATTAACTGAAATTAGAATTGGTGAAAAAAGTTAGAGGAGCAACCTGCAGCTTAAACTGGAAGGTAAATGCAACAAAAATCGCTACAGAATTCTATTCTGCACCCCCCATGCCACCCCCATTTTTATCAATGACCTAGAACAGGGAGTACAACTTCTGATGAGCAAAGAAAATGAGGACGTGGCAAGTCCACAAACAGAATGACCCCGACAGATACAAAGCATATTCAACCCTCGAGTACTCAATGTAAGACAGAAAGAACAGTATAAAGATAATGAAAGAGGTCTCCCACTGTCCGCTCGCAGCGCTCACACGATGGGCTTGGTTTAAGAAGCATGTCTGTTTTATTTTCTCCCCCTGAGTAAGAAGATCAAGCCATCTCTCTAGAAAAACAGAATGAACACAAAAGCAGACACGATCATTCTAAGGCTCCAAATGCGCATTGACAGTGTGCTGAAAGTAACTGCTTCAGCTGGGGAAGCTCTGGAATGGGATTCTAGAAAGCTTAATGTGAGACACCCAATGGCCAGCCAAGGGTGCCTGAAAACTCCAGCACCCTCCTTCCATCACAAGGTCCCCACACAGAACCTTCAGGCAGAAGGCGGGAGGAAGCTTTCTGGAGCTACTGAAAGATGCCCAGCTCCAAGGACAGAAAACTTCCACTTTGAGCCACAGGGACTTCTTTCCGCAAAGAAGGAACGTTGTAACCTGAGTAGCACAGGACACAATTTAAAGAATAAGCTTGTATCTTTAGGTTTGGGGGTATGGCAGAAGCCCCACCCGGTAACGTTTTTACCATTTTTATGAACAAATCAAAGCTAGGCTTGTCTCCCTCCCAGTTTCCCCAGATCCCATCACGAAACCCTAAGTTTCTGAAAACCAGGAATATCCACACAGTAGAGTACAAAGCGGAATGAAATACTCCAGGCACCGAAGTCAACTTCAGCTCCAGATGAAAGTTTTATGTCTCCCGAGCTTCCAAACAGGAAAATTATATCATGGCTGACAGTAATTTAATTGCACTGTTGCTATGACAACATGCTGCTCTTTCTTTTCAATTTGCTTATTTGTCAGAAGCTTCCCAAAGGAACTAACACACGATACTCCATGTTTTCTTTTGTTTTAAACAAACATTGCCAGCAGTATGGTCTTATTAGAAAAATGGCACTGTGGAGAAAAGAGGGTGACGGGGGTCCGCTACCTAGGAATCATCTGTCTGCTTTGTGTTTCTGTCCCCTCGTGCTGTCCAACTGTAAACTGCAACCCTATAAATCCAGCATTTTCGCAGCAACAGTATCAAGAGCTGCTGATCACTACAGTTCCATTTTAAAAAACAGATCCCAGAAACCACCGCTGAGGAGTTTTCCATTATTATACTCTAACTACATACTTTGCCAAATCTTTTTTTCCTCCTATTTTTGGGGGGGGGGGGAGAGCGAGCGAGCGAGAATCCGATCATGTGAGTGTGCAGTTAGGCAAACATTTTTAATCTGCTACCACAATAGGGTTGCTCCACCAGATACGCAAATAGTTACTCACTAGTGACCTCCTTACAACTTTTCGGTTTGCTATTGGTTACATTCCACACACACACAACCACACACCCTCTTTCTGTTTTTATATGATTTGCTGTGTTTTGTTATCTTATTTGCTTTCCAAGGGAGAAAATGCAGCAGGAAAGCTGCATTTCTTGCCCACTATCAGGTTTCCAAATAACTGACACACACATTACTGGCCCAGCTTTGAACAGATGTTCGAAGTGAACTTTGAAAAGTTAAGAGATCCTCTCCAAGCCGAGCAGGGCAGTCGAGAGTTTGGAGGGGCCGGGTAACCGCCCCCCCGCCTCCGCGCGCGCGCGCGCACGCACGCGCTCCACTCCCGTCTACTGTACTTGTCAAAAACATTTCAAGGGGACCTGCGGGAGCGGCGATTGGCTGCGTCCCGCGTCAATCAGCGACGTTGCCAGGCAACGAGGAAACCGCTCTGCTCCCCGTATACTGGGCAATTGGGAGCTCGCATACCTTCACTGCCGGTCAGATGTCATAAACCTTTTATTGGCCGCACCGCGGCGAGCCTTAAAAACACATCAATAAAAGCCCGCCGTCCCCCCAACTTCTCCAGGGCCCAAGGAGGGTTTCCTAGAGAGCCTGGGTAAGGAGGGGTCGGGCCTCGGGGGTCTCGGGAGACGCTCACTGCCGGTGCCAACACCGCACAGTTTGGGGGGAGGGGGCATCTTTGTTAGGAGCCTGTTTCTCATCTTGGGGTCTCCCCTAGAGCGGCACCCCCTCCCCCGGCCCGGAACGGCGGGGATCCCGTCCTCCGCGGACAATACCAACTCTGCTCCTTTCGGGCGTCTTTTGGAAACCGAGGCACCGGGAAACAGCCCGCACGTCGGGGCAGGAAACTCTTCGGACCGGGCAACTTCCCCGCTCGAGGGCTGCCATCTCTCCGCCCGGCCGGGCCCCCTAGCCTGAGCCCTCCCCCCAGGAACTGCGGAGTCCCTCGTCTGCCGTGAGCGGCGAGGTCGCCTCCAAGACGGCCTCGGACGAGCGCCCCCGCCCCGAGTCACCCCAACCCCACCGGGGCGCCAGCGGGAGCCGGGAGCAAACTCACCTGGCCGGAGCGGGGAGCGGGGGCGCGGGGACGCCGCAGCCCTTCAGCGCGAGCCCACAAAGTTTCGCGGGCGCCCAGCGGGCATCGCTTGGTGGCCCGGCTAAGGACGCGCGGGCGCGGCGCGGCGAGCCCGGGGCGGCGGGCGGCGGGGGGCGGCCGCGGGCGCGGGCGGCAGGGGCGCGGGGGTCGCGGCGCGGCATGGGACCTGCGGCGTCCGCCGGGCGCGCCGCGCGTCCTCCCGCCGGCCCCGCCGCTCTCCCCGCCCCGTCCCGCCTCCCGCTCGCCTCCGCCGCGGCGCGTCGGGCCGGGGCGCGCCGAGCGGCGAGAAATTGTTTCCACTGCAAACAAAAAAAGGCGACACATGACCAGGCAGGAGGAGGGGAAGCGCGGGGAGGGAGGGGCGCGGAGGGGAGGGACAGAGCGGAGGGGGCGGAGGGAGCCGGAGAGAGGGAAAACGTGGGCCGGGCCGCCGGCAGCCCGGGGTGCGGACCCGCCGGGGCGGCCCCTGTCCGCGCGCCCCTCGCCGCGATCTACCCCGCGCGCGGTGCCCGAGCGCTTTCCGTGGGACGCAGCCAGGGCCCGGGCCGGCCTGGGCCGCGCGGACTCGCCTCCCGCCGCGCCGCGGGGCGGGGGTGACCGGCGCGGGCCTCAGCGACCCGGGGCGGCCGCGACCGTGGGCGGCGGGGCTGGCGGGCGGCGCGCGGCCTGCCCCTTCCCCAGGCTCCGGCCACGCGGGCGGGCCAGAGCTGTGCCGCTGGCAACGTGTCGCCGGAACGCTCCTACCCCATCCGCATGCCTTACAAGGCTCGAAAGTAAAAATAAAAAGAATTACGATGCGGGGGAGGCTTGCGAGGGGGAGAAGAGATTCCACTTCTCCCCAACTACGGCGTCCTGGCGGGGCTCCCAGGCCGGTCCCCAGCCCTCCTCCAGCGCCCACCTTGAGCCCCGGGAGGAAAGGCACAAAGGCACCGCAGCCCCCCGCCCCGCTGGCCGCTCCTCCTGTCGTCTGCCGGCGCGTGTCTGCGGAGGGAGGGAGGGTGGCCATTACAGACAACCGAGCAAGAGGCCCGTCCTAGAGGCCACGCGGGTAGGTAGGGCCTCTGGGTGGGTGGGGGAGGCTCAGCGCCGCGACCGACTTAGAAACCTCGAGAGAAACCCGGCCTTATCGCCTTCACATTTTGAGTTCTCGGGAACCCGACAGACAATTAGCAGGGCCACCCAGCGACCGGCGGCGCAGCCACCACTCCTAGTCTTTAGGCTCCTCCAAGGAAGGGCCACCCACTGCTAAAGCTGCCTTGGGAGAGGATGAGAGGAGAGTCCAACAGGACACCCTGGTGGT